GGGGGGTTCTACATAGCCACAGGGAAGGAAGTGCTGCTTGTCGAAGATGATGGAGGCGAGGGGCAGGAAACGGTGCTCACCCAGGATCCTCCCGTTGCCCTTACCTTTGCCTGTACCAGAGGCAATGTTTCAGGGCAAGCGTAATGGAATTGGTGTGAAGAGTGAATAAAGCACAGGCTCTGGAGCCAGATAATGCGGGATTTGAATCCAGTTCTTCCATTTTTGGGGGCTCAGAGCCATTAGAAAACTAATTTAGCAGCTCTGTACCTCAATCTGTCAAATAGTTATAATTATGCCCACTGTTTAATGTTACAAAGACTTATCAAATAATGTATGTATGTGGAAGCCCCAGGCATCTAGGTAGTTCGATTCATGGGATTTCCTTTCTCCTGACCCTCTTGAGTATTCGTGGTGTTGATGAGTAAGTGGGAAAGAGTAAGTGGTCTGGACCCAGAGTCAGAGTTTCCAAGTTTGGTATAGGACGTGCCTTACGCCACCACCAGCTCTGCCTCCTTCATAGGACTGTTGTAAAAATCAAATAAGATCGTGAATGTGAAGACTTTTGAAAATGGTTTTGTAAGTACAGGGCATTATCACCTCCGTATCTTTTATCATTGGTCTGTCAAAGTCTGCAGCATGGTGTACCCTGGATTAGTCACTGTGCCCCTTTACCTCCTGTATTAGTTTCCTGGAGGAGTCATAACAGATTACCACACACTTTTTGGCTTACTTGTAGGTTTTTGTAGATATTCTTTATCAAGTTAAGGATAACTGGCCAAGAGTTTTTATCAATTTTGTCAAATGCTTTTTATGCATCTATTAATATGATCATGTGATGCTTCTTCTTTAGCCCGTTGACAGGAGAGATTACTTGATTTTCAAATGTTGAACTAAGCTTGCATACTTGAGATAAATTCCACCTGACCATAGTGTATAATTTTCTTTATACATTATTGGATTCGATTCACTAATATTTTGTTGAGAATTTTTGAATCTATGTTCATGAGAGATATTGGGGTGTAATTTTCTTTTCTTGTAATATTTTTGTCTGGTTCTGGTATTAGAGTGAGTTAGACTATGGAATAGAATGAATAAGAAAGAATTCTCTCAACTTCTATCTTCTGAAATAAATTGTAGAGAATTGGTATACTTTCCTCCTTAAACAATCGGTAGAATTTACCCGTAAGCCCATCTAGAACTGGTGCTTTCTGAGTTGGAAGGTTATTAATGGGCATGTAATTTATTATTAATTCCTTTCATAAATTACATGGCTATTCAGATTGTGTATTTCATCTTGTGCAAGTTTTAGCAGATTGTGTCTTTCAAGGTATTGGTTAATTTCATCTAGGTTATCAAATTTATGGGCATAAAGTTGTTCGTAGTATTTCTTTATTATCATTTGAATGTCCATGGGCTTCGTAGTGATGTCTCTTCTTTCATTTCTGATATTAGTAATTTGTTTCCTTTGTCTTTTTCTAGATTTTAGTCTGGCTAGAGGTTTTTTCAATTTTGTTGATCTCTCAAAGTTCATTGATTTTTCTCTGTTGTTTTCAATTTCATTGCTTTCTGCTCTGATTTTTATTATTTCTTTTTTTTTCTACTTACTTTGGATTTAATTTGCTCTTCTTTTTCTAGTTTCCTAAAGTGGAAGCTTAGATTATTGATTTTTAGGTCTTCCTTTTCTAAATCTATGCATTCAATGCTATAAATTTCTCTCTAAATACTACTTTTTCTGGATTCCACAAATTTTGATAATTTGTGTTTTCATTTTCATTGTGTCCAAATATTTAAAAATTTCTGTTGGGATTTCTTTCTTTAACCCACGTGTTTTTTAGAAGTGTGTTGTTTAATCTCCATATATTTTGGAGTCTCCAGTTATTTTTCTGTTATTGATTTCTAGTTTAATTCCACTATGGTCTGAGAGCAGACATTGTATGGCTTCTATTCTTTTAAATATATTAATGGGTTTTTTACAGGTGCTTCGTTTTGGTGAATGTTCCCTGTGAGTTTGAGAAAAAGTATGTATTTTGCTATTGTTGGATGAAGTAGTTTATAGATAGATGTTCATTATACCCAGTTGGTTGGTGGTGGCGTTGAGCTCCACTCTGTCCTCACTAATTTTCTGCCTGTTGGATCTGTCCATTTCTGATAGAGGGGTGTTGAAATCATGAGTTTTAATAGTGGATTTATCAACTTCTCCTTACAGTTCTATCAGGTTTTGCCTCACATATTTGAAGCTCTGTTGTTAGGCACATACATGTTAAGGATTATTATGTCTTCCTGGAGAACTGATTCCTTTGTTATAGTGTACGGTCCCTCTTTTTCTCTGATAACTTCCCTTGCTTTGATGTCTGCTCTGTCTGAAATTAATATAGCTACTTTGCTTTCTTTTGATTGGTGCTCGCATGTTTTTTCTTTCTCCATCCATTTACTTTTCATCTATGTGTCTTTACACTTAAAGTGGGTTTCTTGTTGATAACATATGGTTGAGTCTTGTTTTTAATCCACTCTAACAATCTCTGTCTTTTAGTTGGTTCATTTAGACCATTGATATTCAAAGCAATTATTGATATAGTTGAATTAATATTTATCATATTTGTTACTATTTTCTGTTTGTTAACCTTGCTCTTTGTTGCTATTATTGCCCTCAACTTTTTTCCTGCCTTTAGTGATTTTAGTTGAGCACTTTATATAATTTTATTTTGTCTCCTTTCTTAGTAAATCAGTTATACATCTTTTTTTCTATTTTTAGTAGTTGACTTCGATTTTGCAATACACATTTATAACTAATTCAAGCTCACTTACTGCTTCATCGGTAGTGTGAGTAATTTACAGGGAAAAAAATTCTAATTCCTCCCTCTTGTTTTTTATACTGCCATATATTTCACTTACATACAAACACATATAAGCATATGTATATATACATAAGATATTACATAAGCACACATAATTGAATACATTATTGCTATTATTTTAAACAATGTGTTATCTGTTAGATCAATTAAGAGTAAGATAAATAAAAGTTTTTATTTTACCTTCACTTATTCCTTCTCTGATGCTTTTCTTTTGTTTATATAGATCTGAGTTTCTGACATATTATTTGCCTTCTCCCTAAAGAACTTTTAACATTTCTTGCAAGTCAGAACTACTGGCAACAAATTCTCTCAGTTTTTGTCTAAGAAAGTCTTTATTTATCTTATTACCCTGATCTCCTTAGGGAGGCCCATTGGAGAGTGAGCTTGACCTGTTAAAATGGACTTAAAAAACACTAGTCTGGTCTTTTAAAGTCTCTGTGTGAGCCCCAGCCAATTTTTCTCAGTGGTTAGAGCACCAGCCTGAGGGCTGAAGGGTCCTGGGTTCCACATTCCAGCCAAGGGCACATACCACAGTAATAACATCTTTCCAGTGTTTCATTTTAATATCATAACTCGTGGAAAAGCACATGGTCCTTTTTCTGTTAATTCTAGTCCCTTCTCCTCAAAAATATTTTAGACACAAGCTCGAAAATAAAAGCGGTCCCTCCAAACACACCACAGAGCTCACCAAATCCTACCACATTGTCTCCAGCAGGAAAGCTGGGTTTCTTACAACTGACCTGCACTTGCCCACCCATCTCTCTGTGATTTTGGCACCAGGACCTGACTGCATGGAGAGGTGTTCTTTGAAATTATGGAACAAATGAGAAATAAGAGGTCCATTAATTCATTAAAGTTCAGTCATCCAAGTTCCACTTTGACCTAATTCAAATTTGTCAGCGATCTGACGAAACTTCACCCTTTCTTTGAACTCTAAGACAAGTTACCGGATAGAGCTGCCCAGATAACTTGGTGCCCCTTTCCTGGAGACAGCTAACAAGGGGAGCACATTTCTGCCCACGGAAGGGGTTTTGCCAACATGACCACACACCCAGCTCCCTTCCCGGCTCTAGTGGTCTAAGCGCCTGACTCGAACTTCTTGGGAAGCACAAAGTGATTTAAGGCCTGAAAGGAGATGAGCAATTCTCAAGACACAAAAAGTCCCGTAAGACAGGAAGCCTGCTGGTTCCTGATGCATAAACTAGACAGCAGAGGCAGGACTGCCTGATAGAGTTTGCCTCTGCTGTTTCCTTTAAGAGAACCTGCCGGGCTCCTCTCCAAGCTCCCTTCCTTCTCTTCACAGCTGATGGATCCCAAGGGGCTTCTCCCGGTGAATTTCCTGCTGTTTTTCTCCCTGGCTTTTGAATGGAGCTGTGGAACAGGTGAGTGTTCGTGTGTTTGAGGGTTTGAGTCCTGTGATTACTTGCCGTGGAGTGACAGAAGACGCAGGGGCTAGGGGCTGTGGTTCAGCTACCGGTTCCTTAGGGACTGACTCTGAGTTTCGCCTGCCTCTTTCAAAGAGGAAGGAACATTGTGAGTTCCTGTGCCCCTGGGTTCCAAGGAACAGCCCCACCGATCCTCATTTCCAAGGAAACCAGGAACTGTGAGCCAAAGGCACAGGTCACCTTCTAGACCAGCCTCTCAAGGTGACAGGCTCCAGTCAGTCCTGGTTGAGTGGTTGCTTTTGTGTGGATCTCCTTCTGGCAAAGACCCAGGCTAAGAGACTGGGATGGGGAGATGGAGCTCTGGGAGAAAATGACTCCCCATACCCTTGCCTTGGAAGGGGATCAGAAACATGGTCCAACGACAAGGTCTGTAAGTGAAAGAGAGGGTAGAAGTGAAAAAGCCCAGGCATTCAGTTAAGAACAGAGAGTGGCCACAGAGTGGCTGTTCTGGTGGCTACTTTCCCGGAAGAGGAAGTTCCAAGGCAGCAAAAGGGGAAAGGCTAAGATTTCTGGAGCCCAGGGCTAGTTGCGGTAAGTGGGAAATGCAAACGGGAGCCTTCAGGGTCAGGCAGCTTGAGCATAGGGCAGAAGCACAACAGAGCATTTGGAGCTGGCCTCTGCTCCTGTCTTTCTCGTCTCCCGAAGGCAACCTGATGTTCTCTGGTAGGATCATGGCTGTGAAAAAGGTATTTGAGAAAGAAAAAGTCACGCAAGAAGTGAACTTTGGGTTTACTGGGTAATTGGAGCGAGAGTCTTATTTCAGCTTAAACGCCTTGAGACTTTGGTTAGAGTGTGGGAGGCAGCCTGGGGGGGTGTGTGTTTTGGGGACTGCAGCGGGGGGAAAAGGGGATCCTGAGGCTCCAGGTGTCTTGTGCTTGGGGTTTTTAAGACGTAAGCCCATTATGGACTTTTCCAGGAAAATCCCAGAGATACGCTAAGGATATCTGAGGGTCTGCACATGACCTGTCTTTTGCCAGACTCCCAGGTGGAAAGACCCTTCCTGGGCCCACTTTCCCTCGGAATCAGGCAGACCCATGGCTCTTCTGCCCAGTGTCTGGGAGAGGAGTCACTAAGCGCAAGGCTCAGAAAGCCAAGCTGAACCACTTGAAGCCGTCACAGGGAGAGCCAGGACTTCCTGGTGCACCCTACTTTTGACTCCTCCATTTCTAGAATACCTCTCAGTGGCTGTCGGGAGTGGTGGGTTGAACAGTGTGCTGGACTCTTTCCTCTTGGCGCTTGCTTGTCTCCTGGCCTGTGGCGTCCCGGGTGCTGCTGACAGCTGCTCCCCTGAGGACTGTGGAGGCCACTAGCTAGCGGGTCCCAGCCCGGCCCCACAGGGCGTGTCTGCCCAATCGGCAGCGGCTCCCTTCCTGCCATTCTGTCTTCTCTGAAATATATGCCAAAATTTTACAGTGTTTTTCTTTTTAAATGCACATCATTTTGTGAAACCCCAATAAAACCCAGGCAGAAGTGTTTTGCAATTGGGACAGGTCAGCCATGACAGATTTACCCAACCAAGGAGCCCAATTCTTATAAAATCAGTACCCTCTGCCCTTCCCATTTCCACTCAGCTCATCTTCCAATTCCAGTCAGAATTGTAAAAATCAAAAAGTTCACGTGCCCCTGCCCTCAATAAAGTGAGTTCTCCACTTCCCCAATGGAACTTTTTAAAAATAGACTTTATTTTTAGAGTAGTTTTGGGTTCACAGAAAAATTGAGGGGAAAGAACAGATGTCCTCCTACCTACCCCCACACATGCGCAGCCTCCCTGATTATCAGCGTCCCCCACCAGAGTGGCACATTTGCTACCACTGATGAACCTACCCAAATGGTATTTTTTATTCCTTCATGTAGGTCCTCTCCACCTCCTTTGCACACATGGGGAGAAGTGAGGGACAAGTAAGTGTGTGGGTTCTAGACTTGTCCCAACCATGTGTATATAATAGACTTGGGCTTGTTTTATCTCAGGATGCAGATCTGGGCACTTTTATTTCTCAGAAGCTTTAATAATGCCACCACCATCTCTGTCTCCAGTGCTGGGCTGGAAATCAAAGCATCAGGGCTATTTATTTTATCATAGATTGACCTTGGGCCATCCCATTCAGCAGCTATGTAATTGGGACACGCGATGTGGCAGGCACTGTGAGGGGTGTGCAGGGAACAGAATGAACACAGCCCCTGCCCAGCATCTGACACAGTGTGAGAGCTCTTCCACAAATGGCTGTTGAGTAAGTAAAGACAGAATGTACAGCATACTTACCACATGCCAGGCACTGTGCTGAGTGCTTCATGCGTATTACTCATCTAATTCTCAGGCCAACCTTAAGAGATATGTTTTAATTATTGCTACCATTATAACTTTATAAAAGGGGAAAGGAGAGAGGCTCAGAGTCGTTTAGCACAGTTTCTCTGTGGTCACACGGCCTGACTCCAGAAGCCTCAATGAATAAAAATGGACTAGCTTATGTTTAGGGAGGCGGGGGAAATGTTAAAATGTGTATCCAGGTCCCATGGTAAAAGTCACAATGTGCTATCTATAATTGAAGTTTATGAGTTGATTTTAATTGAATTGAAATGAATCGAAGTATAAGAATTTTCAAAAGATGAGAGAAGTTGATAAACTCATAGAAGAAAGCAGAGAGCATATGGACGTATTTGATCTACCATTTGGAAAGTGGACAGAAACTTCTTCCATTGTGTAAGTTTTTCATTTAATATTTTTGTTAACTAGCTTGGTTATTGAAAGAGTATCATACATACCTTTATAAAGCTTCAACAATACGAAACGGTACAAAATGGGGACAAATCTCCCTTCCCTACCCCTTGCTGGAGGCAACTACTATCATCAGCTTCTTCCTGCCCTTCCAAATATATCTATCTGGTCAGTTGGATTTTTATGGCTCTTGAAAAGAGTACTCTAGATGAGGCCCAAATGTAGAAGCGAAGCGTTGTGCGTGTTCAGAGAAAATGGCAAATGGTCTGTTGTACCTGAAAACCTAAGTTTATAGCTAAGGCCCTTCCGTCTCCTCACCTGGCAAGTGGGGAGAAGGGCCCTCATCATTTCTCCCCATGTTATATCTCCTAGGGGTGTTATAAAGATGAAGCAGAAGATATTCTGATTTTGGAGAGAGGGGAACTTAGACTCTGTGCTATCATTTTGTCATTTATCCATTCATTTGTCTCCTTCAGTTGCTTCATTCTCTTGGGCTCCAAGGGTTTATTGAGTTCGTACTATGTCCCCGGCGAGTATGAGGATTACGGCAGTGAACACAACAGTCACAGTCCCTATTCTTGGAAGCTTATCACTGAGTGAAGATGACAGGCATTGAACCACAGTTGAAAGCATGATAAATGTTGTGAAGGAGAGATGTAGGGTGCACTGAAAGCATGCGGCAGGAAAACCTGGGGTCAGTGGCAGGGGCAGAGGCCTGCAGGGTGAGGGGAGCCAGCCAGGCAAGGAAAGGGCGGTAACAGGCTTTCAGGCTGGGGAATGGTGAGTACTAGTTCTCTGAGATAGAAAGACCCAGCAGCATCGAGGAATGGGAACAGGAGGATGGCTGGCCGGGCTGCAGTTTAAAAAGCAGCCTTAGGCCCAGTCGGCTGTGGCTCAGCGGTTGAGCATCGGCCTAGGATCGAGGAGATCAGGGTTCGATCCCCGGTCAGGGCACATGCCTGGGTTGCAGGCTCGATTCCCAGTCAGGGGAGTGCAGGAGGCAGCCGATCAATCAATGACTCTCATCATTGATGTTTCTCTCTCCCTCTTCCTTCCTCTCTCTGAAATCAATAAAGATATATATAAAATAAAATAAAATAAATTCAAAGCAGCCTTAGACCAGTATCCTTTCTTTCTGGCCCTAGATTTGCCGTAAGAACTGTGAGGCCTCTTCTCTCCCTGAAGGGCTGTAGCGGGACCCTGCGGCACATGTGCACTACCTGGTGGTGGGAGGGGGAGCGCCGCTGTCGGCAGGTAGAATCCCATCCTGTGGAAGGGTTGGCTACATGCTACTGATTTCAGGAAACTGTCCATGGCCCGTGTGATTCACCCTCCTTTCTAAGTGGAATTACCCCTGAAGGAAAGTGAGTTGGTGCTAACGGCTGCAAACGTTCCTTCCAGACCTTTTAGTAAACAGGAGTGACTGAATCACAGACACACCGGAACACACTCGTCAGACGCAGCACGTTTCAGGAGCAGGGACGCCACTGGAAGGGTTCACGAACCTCTTTCAAGTCCCCACTTACTTTCCACTCATGCTTAGGTGGTGATGCTTTCAATCCCCCAGCCACTCACCGCGGAGTTGCTGCCTCATGGTTCTTACGTGGCTGGGGGGTGGAGGGTCTCTCCCTGGCCGAGTTTCATTCCGTTTCCCATGACTGGGTGTGCGCAGGGCACTCAGCCTCTTTCTCACCTGCCCCCTCTTTTCCTTTCCTCTCTCCCCTCCTACTTTCTTCCTTTGATTTTTTTTCTTTGATTTTTTTTTTTTTTTACTCCATTTCTCATCCTATGTCCCCTCTTCTCCCCACTCTTCACCAATTCTGAGTTTTTAATGCAAACGTGGTGCAGGGGTGTTGGGTTAGGTGGGGGTGGGGGCACATGGGAGATGCATGGGAGCGGAGAGGGTTATGGTGTGAGAGCGGGAATTATTTCCATTTTTTTCCTCTCTATATCAAAACTGGCCTAAAAATAGAGACAATGTGATTGTGATAGTGATTTTTAATCTTGTTTTGAACCTCAGACCCCTTTGAGAGATGACATTTATGGACGTGTTCCCCAAAAAATGTCCATGTGCTTATCTGCACAACTTTTTGTGCACAATTTCAGGGGGGCTCTTGCACCACAGGGCATTTCCTCTTGCATATATGATTCTAATTTTCTGCCATCCTTTTATATGCAGAAGTTTAAGTTCAGGATGCAAGAGGCTACTCTCTTGGGTACTGTGCCTGCCATGTTATCTGGACAGTCAGGCACATTCACTAGTGTGGTTGCAACATGCTTCCCAAATTATCTTTGTAAAAACACCAACACCAGCACCAGCATTCCTCATCTGATCAGTTAAGCAACAAGGACAGCATTCTGTTTTCAGAGTTGATATATTAGCAATATTTTTTAAAAACAAATGCCTATCTGCCTTTCTCACCTTTCCTTAATAATTCTGAGTCTCAGCTACTCTAACCTGACGTAAGCCCAGGTAGATGGCTTTCTTTTCCCCCCAGTCTCTGCATCTCCTGTCTGATACTAGCTGGGCCCTTTACTGGACAGCATTAAGATTTCAAGATATTTTGGTATCAAGGACATTTTGTCCAGTTTGTCCCAATTCTCCAATAACTATCTTAATCATAAGTTAATTTTGTCTTTTCTAGGTGGCTGTATTACTTAAGCAGCTTTATTTTTCTCTTCTGACTTTCTTATCAACTAGAACAATCTATGCTCGCTCTGAGTCATGGGTTCCTTCTTTTGTGAACATTAGCTTATGGTTACATTATTAAGATCAGTTATATATTGGGCAAAGCTAAATAAGAGACATTTTAGTTAGGTAATATGGCTTTTGGCATTCATAAATTGAACAGATACTTATTAAAAGCCTACTAAGGGCCAGCCACTGTTGTAAGTCCTAGGGACAAAACAAGGAACCAAATAAAATTCTTCCTCTTGAGGAGTCTGCATTCTAGTGGGGAAGACAAAAATAAAAACAAATATACAATATAACATCAATTAAGCAACAAGGAGAGCATTCTGTTTTCAGAGTTGATATAGAGCAATACTTAGAACAGCGATAAGTACCAGAAGGGGATGCTATTTTAGTGCTATTTTAGGGAGGACGGTCAGAGCAGGCCTCACAGAGAAGATCATTTTTTAGCAGAAACCTAAAATAAAGTGAGTGAATGAGCTACCCAGCTATAGAAAAGAAGAATTTCCAGAGAAAGGGGGGGGGGGGG